CTGTAGCTTTTTAAAATCCCCAATGCTGGGGACCAAACCCAGGGTGAGCTACACTCCCAGCCCTGCATCTATAACTTTGCTCTGAATTTTTAGAACTTAAAAAGAAAAAGAGAACTCAGAGAAGGAAGGAAGAATGAAAGGAAAGTATGAATGAATGGAGAAAGGGAGGGGAAGGGAGGGGAGGGGAGCTCAAATCATCCAGAGATTCAAAGCAGGGGTACACAGAATTTGATTGACATTTCTAAACATCACGTAAGTCCCTTCCCCAGTCAGGGTTCTGATTTTTTCATCTCTCAATGGGTTGGATAATACCTCCCATTTGATTTATCTGTGACCATCTTGGGCTGTAGAACAGAATCCAATATCTAAATGCTAGGGCTTAGTAGTAGATTAGTTGCTTAGGATGTGTGAAACCCTGGGTTGATCCCCAACACACCAAAAAAAAAAAAAAAAAGAATTAAATGCTCAAGGGCAGTGACTCTAAGGAAGAATCACCATCTGTGCCTATTTAACATGTACATTCATCCCCAGAACTTCCAGAAATGCTGCCTTCCTGTTGTGAGGTTCAGCTGGGCAACTGGCATTTTTGACAAGCACCCAAATACTCTGATGCAAGTTACAATGCTCAGCACAGGATCTCAAGTTTAATTGACACAAAACCACACATCAGTTCTCTTTTAACCCTAACTACCTCAGGCAGAAGGGTCAATTAGGTGTTGCTCTGTTTTTAGCACCAAGACTTTAGCACTAGATTATCTTCCTCTGGAACAGGGAGCTGGCTGCAGGCAACAGAATCTACCTGGAATTTAATTATACCCACCACATTCACCTTTATTGTTCTATTCTATTATGGGAAGTGAAACATATATCAATTAACAGTAATAATACTAACTCTCCTTTAAAATGGATGCATTTAAATTTATACAACTGAAAAGGAGACAAAAACAGAACATCCAATAATGTATTCTAGAATGAGATGTCTATTAAAAAAAAAAACTATTGCCCACATAGACTCATTGCGCATGGGTACATGACTAGAATACACATAATAACGATTTGTATTATGAGTGATCCACAAATAAAAATATTTAACATATATGAATGTATTCCATATGCAAATGTCTACACAAATGTATTCCACATGTGAATTAAATGCGAAAAATCATTCTTTCTAATGATTCATATGCTAAATCTAAAATTTGACCTAGCAATGGATAATAAATAAGAATGGACGATTTAGACAAAGGACATTTACAGACATTACTCCAAATGGCCAACAAACACATGAAACTTATGCTGGACATCACTAATCATTAGGGAGATGCAGATCAAACCTCAATATTTCATGTCCATCAGAATGGCTATAATCAAGGAAACAGAAAATAACCTGAGTGAGGATGTGGATAAACGGGAGCAACAGGTATTGACTGATGTGGGAATGTAAAATGGTGCTGCTGCTGTGGAAAATAGTGTCACCATTTCTTGGTATGATGAGCAATTCTACTTCTACGTTTATACTCCCAAAGAACTGAAAGCAGGGATTCAAGCAGAGTCCACACAGGAAAGAGGTTTGATAGGGGCTCCCACTGTTCAGTGGAAGACTCAGCTCAGCCTCTGATTTTAAGTTTCATGTCCCACCTTCCACTCTAGCTGGTGTCCTCTGCAAGTCTAGACTTGCTCCAGTTCAATCTCTAGAAAATAAGTCTTTGTGAGGTTGGACAGGGTCGTTACCTACTGGTTGTGAGAGGTGCAGTAGGGTGTGGGAAGAGATCCCATCTGCATCTAATTAATAATTTCATTTGATCACCCTTGTTTTCAGCATTACAAACACACCGATCCCAGAGATGTCTGACTCTCAATCCTAAGACCTTGAGCGGTTTTCAAGTGGGAACTGACTACTGGGGCTTTTACCTTTCTCCTGTTCCATCAGTTGCTGTTATCACCATTTCATTTTCTTGTTGTAAGTTTATACTTTAAACCTGGTGTTTAGTGGGGTTTCAGGAGGGTAGAGATAAGTGTGTGTATGTGTGTGTGTGTGTGTGTGTGTGTGTGTGTGTGTGTGTTTAGCTGAAACTCCACCCCAGTCACTCTTCAATCCCTCCAACCTGGCTACCATCCCCATCACAACACTGATATTGCTCTGAGCAAGGCCACCTAATCTACGGTGAGATTCTGTCATCTGAGCCTGACTCAACTGCAGAGAAATGGGTTGATTCCTTCAACTGCACTCATCCTTTGGGAACACAAATTCCAAGACCTCCTGATTGGCAGATCCAGTGAGCATTTCTTTGTCTTCCTCTTGGTCAGCCTCTTAGCAACACAATAGCCCAATCTCTTCTCAGCTTTCATGAAACAGCTTCTCCTGGTTCTTCTCCTACCTCTCTGCTATAGTTTTGATCTTAAATATCCCCCAAAAGTCCATGTATTGGAGGCTTAGACTCCAGAGAGGTTCTATTAGGAGGTGGTTCAACCTTTAAGAGGCGGGGCCTAGTGGGAGGCTTTTAGATCATTGGGCCAACAATGGCCCAAAAGCAATGAAGCCAACTGATAATGGACTAGAACCTCAAAAACCATGAACCAACATAAATCTTTCCCTTTAGGAGTTGATTATCTCAGGTATTTGTTACAGTAATAGAATGCTGTCCAACATGCTCCATGACCAGTCTTTGTTGCTTCTTCCTCTTTTGCATGACTTCCAAATCTCAGAGGATTTGTCTCAGGACACAGATGGCTCACTCTTCTCTTCCTATATTTCCTGCTTAGAGATCACTAGTCTGTGGCTTAGACACACCTGTATGCTGCTGACTCGCACGTACACACCAGCTAGTCCTGACCATTTAACATAGATGAGGTTTTGTTACCTGGAAAAAAATCTAAATAAACCCACTAGTTTCACTTGGTCTTAATTGACTTAAAATTAATTAAGGTACTTAAAAATCACTAATTTTGAAGGTCACACCGCTGGGCAATTGATTATTCATCTCCCATTAGATTTGCTATAGATAATATCTCCAGTGTGGTTTATGATAGTAATGGTTGCCTAGATTACTCTTCAGGGAAGCAAAGCCTGCTTTTGCTGAAAACACTGACTCTTCACTTGGGCCTACATATGTCTGAGGGGTCCCTGGAATGGGATGAAAACACTTGGCATCTCTGTGTTCATATTGTATGTCTCTTATTGCCCTAGCTTTTGGGTTAGATTCTACTCAGCTCTACGTGTACACCGGTTGATAATCTGAGAAATGTCTTATCTATAACTATATATAAAGTTAGGGGCTGGGGATGTGGCTCAAACGGTAGTGCACTCGCCTGGAATGCGTGCGGCCCAGGTTCCATCCTCAGCGCTGCATACAAACAGGGATGTTGTGTCCGCCAAAAACTAAAAAATAAATATTAAAAAAAATTCTCTCTCTCTCTTTAAAAAAAACTTATAAGGTTAACTTGAACTAGACTTGTTTAGTCTCTCTCTCACTCTCTCCCTGCTTGAAGACTAAAAACACCTACCAGGCACCATAATGGGAAAAAAGAGACCATGAAAGGAATAGCACCTGAAAGATCTCTGCTTATTTCCAGAAAAAGACATATTCTTCCCCTTTATTAGCCTATCTCTCTCCCTCACTATTCCTGTCTCATGTCTGTAACCCCTCAACTCCCAAGAAATTGAGAAGTTGTTGGAGAAAAGTTTTCTTTTTCTCCAACACTAATCTCAGACTTTGGTTTTTCTGTAAGATGAGCTTCTTCCTCATTTTTTTTTTTTCCAGTACTGGAGATTGAACTCAGGGGCACTGTACCACTGAGTTACATTCCCCAGCCTTTTCCTTATTTTTTATTTTAAGACAAGGTCTCCCTAATTTGCCCAGACTGGCCTGCAGCTTACATCCTCCTGCCTTAAATTTCTCTTCCCTCAGTAGTTGGGATTACAGGTAAGCACCACCACATCTTGAGATGAGCTTCTAAACCTGGGTTTGAAACGATTACTTCATGGAAGTCTAAACTTAGAATTTCCAGATCAGAGAGCCCAAATCTGTTTTGCCTCCAAGGCCAAAATTTGTAATTCCTCCTTTACATCTTTTTTTCTCTCTTTCACTCCAACCCTTCCTTTCTCTCTTCAAACAAGCCAAATTCTTCCTAACTTCAGGACTTCTGTGCAAGCAGATCTTTGCACAAAATTCTCTCCCCCAGTCCTACATTTTCACAGACCTCTGTTCCAACGTCACCTCCTCTGCACCTCTGAGGGCCTTCTTCTTCACCCCACCACTTCTCATGCCCTCACAACAATTTGATTTTCTTCAAAACACTCATCATTATCTGAAATTCTAGTATGTACAATATCATTATATGAAATTCTAGTATGTACAATATTTGTATACGTATTTATTCTTTCTTACAGCTGCTTTTTATATATTTATTTTTTTAGTTTTAGGTGGACACAATATCTTTATTTTACATTTATGTGGTGCTGAGGTTGGAACCCAGGGCCTCATGCATGCTAGGCAAGCACCCTACTACTGAGCCACAATCCCAGCCCTCTTACAACTGTTTTTAATCTGCATCAGGGCCAAGATTGGGTCTTCTTTGGGCCTGCAGACACCTAATTTAGTCCCTGGAATAGTTGGTTCTCAAAATTAGTTACTGAAGCAAATAAAAGAATACATAGAGTTCAAGAAGAGTTGGAGGAAGCCAAGAGGAGGGCATGCGCAGACTTTTAAAGTTAAATGGCAAGAAAGAATGTACCCTCCCCATCCCTGCTCGGTCTCAATTCTGGATAGGTGCCATCACCGAAAGATCCTGTTCCCCAAATCTCAGGATGCCCAGTCCCTCCCTGTCCCAGCTCTGTGGATTCCCCTGCTCAACCCATTTCCCTCTGGGTCAGGTTTCAGCATCAACCCCGCCCCTCCCCGCCTAATCCAGTCATGCTCTTTAGGGCGGAGAAGTGGCCCCATGGGCCATTGGAGACTTGGCAACAACCAGATTTGCCTAAATAGGGCCCAGCCAGGTAGAGGCAGAGCATTGCTTCCACGGTGAGCCATCCAGCTCTGCAGTTGTGCACGCAGCAGAGATGCAGGCTCGGGCTGGCACCATGGCCAAGTTTAGGATAAGAGTATCCACTGGGAAAGCCTGCGGGGCTGGCACGTGGGATAAAGTATCTGTCAGCATCGTGGGGATGCGGGGAGAGAGCCCCCTGCTGCCCCTGGACCACCTAGGCAAGGAGTTCACTGCGGGCGCTGTGAGTGCGTGGTGGGTGGGCAGAGATGGAGCTGGAGCGGGGAGAGCAGGAGGCACTACCCTTCCTCAGACTAAACCTACTAAACCAGGAGGAGGACTTCGAGGTGACGCTCCCCCACGACGTGGGCCCAGTGCTGCTGCTGCGGGTGCACAAGGCACCCCTTGCTCTGCCTCGCCCACTTGGACCCTTGGCCCCCAACGACGCCTGGTTCTGCCGCTGGTTCCAGCTGGAGCCACCAGGAGGAGTCCCACTCCGCTTCCCCTGCTATCAGTGGCTGGAGGGAGCAGGGGACCTGTTGCTACGAGAAGGGGCAGGTGAAGAGCGGGGCGGGTGGGGGGGCTGGTGTTGGGGGAAGGGCAAGGGGATCGTTGCAGCAGAACGTGGTGGGGGCGGTGGGCAAGGGGCCATGGGCAAGGGGAAGTGGCAGCCCGGCTTGGGAGAAAAATGGGAGAAAGGGACCTGGGGGAGGGTGGCAACAGTGGAGGAGAGGGTGGCTGAGATCAAAGATAGGAGGGTTTCTCCTTCGCGTCTTCTACAGCCAAGGTCTCCTGGGCGGACCACCATCCTATCCTCCGGCGACAACGCCAGGAGGAGCTCCAGTCCAGGCAGCGGATGTACTGGTGAGGAGAGAGCTACTGTTGCAGGGAGGGGACACTTAAGGGATGAGGGACAGCCTGGAATCGCTATTGATGACACAGATTAATGCCCTTGTCTTGTCCTCTCCTATGAAAGCTGCTTCTGGAACCAGCGGCATCTGTATCACCCAGGCACCTGTTAGAAAAGCAAATTCTCAGGCACCTCCTACCTCTGACTTGGACTTTTCATGGGGTGGGGGGTGGGCAACAATTTTTGTCTCACAAGTCTTTCAGATGACTGGTGCCCACTGAAGTTTGAAAATCACTCCTGTAAAAACCATACCATTGCATGCTTGTCCCCTACCCTGGGGCTTTTACACATTACCTTGTATCCCTCCAGAAATGTGGGTAGAACCAGAAACACACCACACAAGCCCCAGGAGACTCTGGCTCCAGGGCAGGCAAAGGGTGAGATGGGACTCTTTGCTTTGGGCTCAGCATTAAGGACCAAGAGGAGAATCTTGCCTGGGAAAGTGCTCAGTGGGCATATGGTGAAAATTGTAAAGAAGCCAGGGCTGCTGTTAAGGATTCCTGAAGCAGAAAGTCAGGAACCACACTGAGGTGCAGCTTTTTAAAAGATATTGATCTTGGTCTTTGCTGTCCAAAGTCTGGACAGAATGCTTTTGCCCAAGATCTCTGGGGACAAGGCAGCCACAAGCTTATTTGGTTTCTGGTGATTGTACATATGTTATGAATTACACCCCCAAGAGAAATCATTGCCCTAAATCTTACAGCCACAGCCCTGGGAAAGGGAGCAGATTTTAAAAAATTATATATATAAATTTTTGTAGTTGTAGATGGACAGCATGCCTTTATTTTATTTGTTTATTTTTATGTGGTGCTGAGGATTGAACCCAGTGCCTCACACATGTTAGGCAAGTGGTCTGCCACTGAGCCTCAACCCCAGCCCAGGGAGCAGATATTGAAGTCTGTTGCATCATAGAGACCCAGAGTCAATCTAGACCCTTCCAAAAGGAGCTATGAGATTTTAGTCAAGTCATTTAATCTCTTTGATCTTTTTTTTCTGCAAAAGGGACCAAGAATACCAGTCTCCTGAGAGTCATTAAGTAGAACAAATGAGAAAATGGTTACGAATGCAGCTAATCAACTGCCAATCCCTACACTATTACTAGTGTTGATGTTTCTAGTTTACACTCCCTCACTGTCTAGGCCTTTAATATTTAAAAGTGAGACCTCAGATCCATGCCATCCATGAGCTTACAGGGTCTTGGCTGGGATTGTGGCTCAGTGGTAGAAGCCTGCCTAGCATGTGTGAGGCACTGGGCTCAATTCTCAGCATCACATATAAATAAATAAAGGTTCATCAACAACTAATAAAAATTTTTTTTAATGCAGGCTCTTAAGCCTAGCTCAGACCTACTAAGTTAGCACCTGCAGTTTACCAATATCCTGGGGTGAATCACACTCACTTTAAAATCTGAGAAGTAGGGTTTGGCCACCACCTGGTGGCAGTATGCTTTAATTGCAAATTGTTCTTTGAAGTTGAAAGCTCAATTTTTGAATAAACCAAAGAATGAATGAGTGACAGAAGGACTGGCTGGAGGGGTCCTCAGTTTTCTGGAACATGATTTTACCAGATCACTCAAAGGTTTTTGGCTGTGTGATTTCCTTGATAATGAGCTTTAGAGACGCCTCAGACCAAAGCAGAGTAAGTTACTGCGACTCCCACAAGCTGTGAAGGCTGAAGTGCTTCTCTATGGGATGCCTGCCAAGGGTAACTGAAACCCTAGGAACAGCCCCAGCTTCATGACTACCTTCCCTTGGCAAGATGCATCTGTGTTAGTCAAGAGTTGTGTGCTTGCATGAAGAGAAACCGACTCCAACTAGCAGACGGATAAAGAGAGAATTTGTCAACAGGACACAGGGGTGGTTTCAGAAGTAGGGGCAAAAGGGTTGCCAGATCTTGGACCAAAAATCAAGGCAACTCCCTCCTAGATGCTCCCCTCCCTCCCTCCCTCTCCCTCCCTCTCTCCCTCCCTCTCTGCCTCCCTCCACTCTCTTTCCTCTCTTTCTCATCTCTCTTTCAGCTTTCTCTGTTTCCCAGTCCACACAGTAGGATATGACCATAGCTGACAATCCCTATATACACGCTGTAATGTAATCTAGATGGCCTTTCTGGCTCTGCCCCAATCTCAAATTCCCTAGGAAGGACTCTGATTGGCCTCGCTCTGCTCAGATGCTCAACTCTAGACCATTCAACTGTGAGCAAGGAGAAATCTCACTGGGAATATGCAGCTCCCTTGAGCCTTATGGTCCAAGGAGAAGGGCAGATCTCAGGAAGGTCCTTGCTTGCAAAAGGTCGCTGGCTTGACCAGGACCCACAAGGGGACTTCCTCTGCCCTAGTCCAGGGGCTTCCTGAGGTCTCCTAATGATCACCTGCCTGTTCCACCCTCTAGCTGGAAGACTTACAGCCCAGGTTGGCCTCACTGCCTTGACCAGCCGACTGCGAAAGACCTGGACCTCAACATCAAGTACTCTGTAGTCAAGAACACCAAATTCTACACAAAAGGCAGCTCTGCGTGAGGATGCCCACCCTTTCCTACACTGGTTTAGATGCCCTACCACCCCTGCCTTCTGCCCTCCCCTACTCAGCTCCCCTGCCATTGGTGATATGGGTCACACAGCTTCCTGCCCACTACCACTTCCCATAGGCAGTGACTACCTCAGAGGCATTGATCACCTCTGAGTCTCATCCTAAACCTGAAAGCTGATTTAGGATTCTAGAAAGGATAAGGCCAGGTGACTGGGGAGGGTCTTCCAGGGTCTCTTGCTCCCTCCCATCCCTCGCATCCGCTGGTAGTTTTGCAGAGCTAAAAATCAAGGGACTTCTGGACCGCACAGGGCTCTGGAGGAGTCTGAGGGAGATGAGAAGGATGTTCAACTTCCAGAAGAGTCCAGCAGCTGGTGAGGAACTTGGCACAGGGCTCCTGACCTCTTCCCAGGACATCAGCTCCCAAGACTGTTAGGAATCTGAGAAAACCAAATGCCAGTTCTCTGTGGGACTCTGTCCCTTCCTAGACCTTATGTTTCCCCATAGAGACAAAAAGAGAATGTGGACTTCGGGGGATCCCTGATGTGCTAATACAACAGGCATTTCTAGAGCTACTACCCATCAGACACTGGCATGGGGCTGTGGACATAGAACTGGTGGATATTAATTAGACTCAAAAGCAAATCATTAGGGTCATTTGTGAGACATGACCCTTATCTCCAGGAGTATGTAAAAGGGGGACCCACCCTGGCTTAGAAAGGGGCTTTGCTCTCCCAAGAGGGTTGAGTAGGCATTCACAGTGCCAAGGATGGGGTGTGGAGCGGAGAGCTCTCTACGACCAAGGGAAGGCCTTGAAGATGGAAGGATCAGAGGGAACAAAATCACTGCTGTGGCCAAAGCAGATTGAATGAGGGAAGGAAGGTCAGAGAGGAGGCTGGAGAGGCAGCCAGGGCCCAGATGGTGCAGGACTGTGTGGGCCATGACAGGACTTGTGCCTTTCCACAGTTCAGTGCGAGACTATCGAGTTGTGGCCAGGTAGGGACTAATATGGCCAGATGTGCTATGTGGGGGTGGTTGGGGGTCAGAGTGGAAGCAGGAGGATCAGCCAAGTCTCTGGCTAAGGTCAGCAGAGGATAATGGCCTCAGCAAGGCAGTGGCAGTAAGAACTGAGTGGACAGGTGGGTCAAAAGGCCCTGAGGATGGAAAAATCAAAGGGACTTGATGGGAGGAAGCGGAGGGGACTGCCAAGAGAGATCCTGGACTCTGCTGCAGACAACCAGGTAGATGGAGTTGCCATTCCCCAGGATGCTAGGCAGTGGGGGGGTCCAGAGTTGGAGAAGAACCTGTGTTCTATCTTTGATATTTTGTAATTGAAGCTGGCAAGTCATCCCAGAGAATGTCAAGCAGATGGGGAACAGTGGGATGGGCACTAAGATTTTCTGTTTGGTGAATGGGCAGGAACTGGTGCCAAGGGGCCAGGAGAGGTCACCCTGAGAAAACTTTAGGTTGCTCATGATGAATTACAAAGGTAAGGTCAGGAGGAAACCTCTTGGCACTGGGGTGACTGGTCCCTGTGTCCCCCATCCCCATGCAGAATATGTGTTTGAGCACTGGCAGGATGACACCTTCTTCGCCTCCCAGTTCCTGAATGGCCTCAACCCTGTCCTGATCCAACGCTGTCGCAGCCTCCCAAAGAACTTCCCAGTCACCGATGACATGGTGGCCCCAATACTGGGCCCTGGGACCAGTCTGCAGGCTGAGCTGGAGGTGGGGCCCAGAGCCTAAGCTCTGCCAGCCCCATCTCAGTGCCTTCAGGCCTGTCCCCTGCTGGAGAGGGAGGGGTACACTCACATTTGTTCTTGCATGCCTGGAACATCCTCTCCCAAAACACACTCCTCTCCTAGCCCTAAATCTTCTCCCTGCTTCCTACCCCTCATTCTTTAGAAAAACCAAGTGTTAGCCCCAGCTCCCCTTCTCTCTCCACAGAAGGGCTCCCTGTTCTTGGTGGATCACGGCATCCTCTCTGGCGTCCATACCAATGTCATCAATGGAAAGCCTCAGTTCTCTGCAGCCCCAATGACCCTGCTATACCAGAGCCCAGGGAATGGGCCTCTGCTGCCCCTTGCCATCCAGGTCTGTACCTGGGGATAGAGATGGGCATGTCCCACCATCGCAGACAGACACTCATTGCTGCCTCTTTCCTCGCTGCTTTTCCCACCCCCAGCTCAGCCAGACCCCGGGTCCCAACAGTCCCATCTTCTTACCTACTGATGACAAGTGGGACTGGCTGCTGGCCAAGACCTGGGTGCGCAATGCTGAGTTCTCTGTCCACGAGGCCCTCACACATCTACTGCATGCGCACCTACTGCCTGAGGTCTTCACCCTGGCCACACTGCGCCAACTACCCTCCTGCCACCCTCTCTTCAAGGTTAGTAACTCATCAGAGTGGCCCAGACTGTGTTCCAAGCCTATCGGTCCCTGCACCTTGTCCTGCCCCTTGCAGTGCTTCTTCTGAGTGGCCTTTGCTCAGGCATTCCTGTCTTCCCAGGCTGGGATGCAGAGGTCCCATCCCACTTCAGCAGTGTCTCCCTGCATAGCTCTTCTGGGAACCTCCTTCTAGGAAAACCCTGAGCCAGGGCAAAGTGGATGGCATGCCTCAGAGAGGCTCTCCTCTCAAAGCAGATCAGATGAGATCACCAGAGAAGCCCCAGACCTAGGAAAGGGGCTGGCAGAAGCCAAAGTGAGAACATCGCTTTGAGGGACCAGCAGGTTTTCTGCAGGTTGTTCCAAGGCTAGGGACTCTCTCAGGTTGTTGTGTAGGTCCCCTGAGCCTTGCTGAGCCTTCAGATGACATAAATCTGTTTCCTCCATGGACCTGAAGCATCTCTTCTGAGATTTCCTCCTCCCAAAGCAGCACAGACTCTATTCCCACTGAGATGATATCCTGGGCCCCAGACGCAGACCCTGCTCTGTTCTAGTCAATCCAGGCTGCTTTTTTTTTTTTTTTCTGACTATATGCAGTTTTCCAGCATTGGCACTCAGAAATAGGCTCTGGGGGACAGTTCTATATTGTCAGGCCTATGGTGCTTCTCCTGCCCCAGACATTGGAAACCACAGGCTGCCAGAACTGGAAGCTCATGGGCCTCATCCAAATCAGAATGCTCATTTGATAAAGTGATCTGGTGCTCAGAGAGAGGAAGGATGCTACTTGGAGGCCTAGAAAAAGATGCTAAGGGAATTATGCTTTGGTGTCTGGGTCTGGAGCACTGACCCCTGTCCCAAGCTTCCCATTCTGGTCCCTGTAGTCTCTTTCTCAGTGACTTATTTAGTGGGTACCTCTGTGGGGCAGATCTGGGGCCATCTGCAGCTCTGCCCTCTCCTTCCCCTTACCAGTTGCTGATTCCACACACACGGTATACCTTGCATATCAACACGCTTGCCCGTGAGCTGCTCATCGCCCCTGGCCAGGTGGTAGACAGGGTAAGAACTGCCTTCGGACGTTTTTTCAATTGGAAGAATCAAGGGTTCTGAGGTGGGAGTGGCCCTGATTTTCCAATATCAGGGCTGCCTCCTGCTTCTGGAGCCAAAAAGTCCTAGTGCCCAGGAGTCCTGTCTCTCAGTCCACAGGCCTTGGCATTGGAGGCTTCTCTGAGCTGATCCAAAGGAATATGGAGCAGCTGAGCTACTCTGTGCTGTGTCTGCCCGAAGACATCCGGGCCCGAGGAGTTGAAGACATCCCAAACTACTACTACCGGGATGATGGGATGCAGATCTGGGGGGCAGTGGAGCGGTGAGGGGCTATTCCCAGGGAACCAGGGGATAGGAAAAGCAGGAAGACTAGAAAAGAGAGGGAGGGTCCAGAGAAGCCAAGTCATGAATGACACTGGGCAGGATGCTTCTTAGGGTAAGAGGAACTTCTCAGAGAGGGACTGACCTGGTGCCTCTTGCAGCTTCGTCTCTGAAATTGTGGGCATTTACTACCCAAATGATGCATCTGTCCGAGATGACCAAGAACTCCAGGCCTGGGTGAGGGAGATCTTCTCCAGGGGCTTTCTAGACCGAGAGAGCTCAGGTATGGGGCCCCCAACCCCTAGGCCCTACCCTCTGGCCTCTGCAGGGAGGTCCTCAGGACCCTAGCAGCCCCAGCTCCAGCTCAGCTGTCCCCACAGGTGTGCCCTCCTCACTGGACACCCAGGAAGCTCTGGTGCAATATGTCACCATGGTGATATTCACTTGTTCAGCCCAGCACTCAGCCGTCAGTGCAGGCCAGGTAAGGGAAGATCAGTACAAGGGGTGACAGGGTGGAGGGTGGGGGCTCCTCCACCTTATTCTCCCTCTCCCTCTTCAGTTTGACTCCAGTATTTGGATGCCCAACCTGCCACCCACTATGCAGCTGCCACCACCCACTTCCAAAGGCCAGGCACAGCCTGAGGGTTTCATAGCCACCCTTCCACCAGTCAATGCCACGTGTGATATCATCATTGCCCTCTGGTTGCTGAGTCGGGAGCCTGGAGACCAAGTGAGTAGGGACATAGAGGACGGTGTTGTGTTTGTCTTCCCTGGCACAGACCCAATGGTGCCAGCAGGAGCTGAGTCCCTTCACCCCACAGAACCTCCCCCAGTGGGACACACAAGCTTTGAGCACCTCACAATGTAGGATAAGTGGCCAAATGAGATGATGTCTAGAGTCACCCTTAGCTTCAAAGGCAATATGTTCCTTTAAAACTTTAAAAATTCCCAAAAGCTTCCTGAAGATATCATCACTTAAGAAGATGGGCTAAGGGGAGGGGTGTGGATGAGATTCAGTGGGGACTAGGGCCAGAACAAGCTAAGGTGGGTCACAGGTTCTCAGGAGATGGGGACGTTGGCGGCTTCCTCACCCAACCTTGTGGTTGGTCTCCAGAGGCCCCTGGGCACCTATCCAGATGAACACTTCACAGAAGAGGCCCCACAGAGGAGTATTGCCGCCTTCCAGAACCACCTCACCCAGATCTCAAGGGACATTAAGGAGAGGAACCAGAAGTTAGCATTGCCTTACCCCTACCTGGACCCTCCCCTCATTGAGAACAGCGTCTCCATCTAAATCCCTGGAGAACATAGTCCCATGTGACATATGTCCTTCTGACCACATCACTCTAGACTAAGACCCACAGAAAAGGATCCCCAAGAGAAACAGGCCCCAGAGTGCCTCTCTTGAGACAACTGTGTAACTCACCCTCCTCCTCCTCCTCAAAACAGAGAAACAAAGGGCTGGGGTGTGGCCCAGTGGTAGAGTGCTAGCCTAGCATGGGTGAGGCCCTGGGTTCAATCCCCAGACCCCCAAAAGACAGAGAAAACATCCACAGAGAACAGAATTCTGTGGCACAAGGATGACAAACCTTGGGAGACTCTAAGCCTTAAAGTGCCTGCACAGCTCCCTTGAGGGTTTTACTAGTTTTGTTCTGCCTTCCATTACCTTGGACTGTAACCAGGAAAGGATCCTGGCCTACTGACCACAGCCAATCAGGCATCATGGTCACCTGACTCAAGGGCAGCCATCATGTAGGCTGCTGGACCACACAAGAAGTGGCTCAGCCTGAAGACTGCCCAACAGGTTGATCATGGCCTACTGTCCCAGTTTAAAAATGAATGAATGTTTGAGAAAGGATCATTAGAAGATAGAAGGAAAAGGACACATGGCCCAAGGGCCAATTGCAGGCGGTGCCCTCCTTTGTTTCTCAGAACTTGCCCCGAAGTGTATTTTAAAGCAGCTTCTATTTCCAGGGAATTAGAAACTATTGATGTATCACTAATCATACTTTGCCTTCCTGATTCCATCTTCAATGATGGAATTCCAAATTCTTCAATTTTATTTATTTATTTATTTGGTGGTCCAGATTTAGCGAACATTCATTAAAACAATTAAGTTCTTTCGAATTCACCTGATGATTTTCATCTCTGACTTATAGGTATCAGTGCTTTAGATTTTGAGCTTCTTCACTAATATTCTTTAATCTTATTTTTTTTTCTTTTGTACTGGGGATTGAAACCATGGGTGCTTTACCACTGAGCTACACCCCCAGTCCTTCTTATTTTTCATTTTGAGATTTTTGTCTCTAAGTGTCTGAGGCTGGCCTTGAACTTTGTGATCCTCCTGCCTTAACCTCCAAGTCACTGGAATTACAGGGATTATCTTTGTAAGCAAAAATACTAGTTTTACTAATTTTTATGCACCATAATTTTACTAATTTTTGCAAAATAATGAACAAAATACAAAACATATACTATATCTGCATAAATTTAACCATGGAACTCAATGGGCAAATGCTTCAGAAAGAACAGTGTGGGCTGGCAGGTAACGTGAATTATTCTTCCCCATTCAGAACCAGTGTACCAAAAGAGCTATGCATTTATTAAACTTCTTTGGTTTCGATCAATAAATAATTCCTGCTCACTTAAGTCAATAAAGGAGTTCATGGGAATGAAACTGAGTGTTTTGAGGAATTAAAGAGTTAAACCTTACTGTCTCAGAAAAGACCAGAAGATCAGAAAGCTCTGGGCAACCAGACCACAAAAACCAATGGACACTTTCCCAGGCAGTGCAGTAGAAATAATGAATAACCATTTTTTTTTTTTTTTTTTTTTTGTCCTTGACTCATTTGCCTCAGGATTCAAACTCCTTGAGGAAGGTTCTGCTTGAAATGTTAGGAACTCCTGGAGCCATAGAGAGTTCTGTTCTGAAGTATATCATATACTTCCCAATGTTTCCCAGCCAACCTTTTGCTTAGGTTGGGGCCATGTGATTAATTCTGGTCAATGGACCGTGAGAGGAAGTGATGTCTGTCGCTTCTGAGTTGCAGTTGTGAGATGGTGCCTTCTTCAGCCTTTGACTGCTCTGCTGAGGCCACCTTGCAGACATGTTTCAGATGACATGAGCCCCATCCTTAGTCCCATCACTGGACTAGAAGCTCAGGAGGACAGGGTTCAATCCCTTAGTAATAAAAAAAAATGAATCCAGCAAAAGCCAGTTTGAAGATATCCTACGGAACACTCCCATATTTGTACAAAGAAATGCTTACAGTGATGTTCTATGCAGTATTATTTATAAGATGAGGGAGAAATGCTTTTTAAAATCTAAATACACTTTATCCTGAAGAATTAAAGACCTGTTACTACAGTTGTACTACTGGTGTTGGCCAAATTATATCATTATATTGTGTGCATGTAAACAAATCACTGTGTCTAACTATAATGCACATATATACCCATGTTTATAGCAGCACAATTCACGATAGCCAAACTGTGGAAACAGCCTAAATGTCCATCGACAAATGAATGGATAAAGCAAATGTGGTATATATACACAATGACATTATGGCATTTACAGGAAAAGGATGGAACTAGAGACGATCATGTTAAGCAAAATAAGTCAAACTCAGAAGGTCAAGGGTTATAGTGTTCTCTCATATGTCGAAGCTAAAGAGGAAAAAGGAAAAGAAAGGTGGGAATGGATCTCCTAAACACCAAAGAGAGATCAATAAAGGAAAGGGCCCAAGGAGTGAAAGGCAGGGAGGGAGGGGGAATGCTGGGGAGTGATGATGGCCAAATTATATCATTATATTGTGTGCATGCAAACAAATCATTGTGTATAACTATAATGCACAAAAAAAATATGGAAAAAAAATCTGGGCTGGGGTTGTGGCTCAGTGGTAGAGCGCTTGTCCTGCACATGTGAGGCACAGGGTTCCATCTTCAGCACCACATAAAAAAATAAATAAAATAAAGTTAAAAAATAATAAAATCTAAACACCCATCTGGAAGGAAATATTAAATACATTAAGAAACAGTCCTATGAAAACGAATGTAGCTGTTAATAAGGTCAATCTATAAATACTGACATGGGAAAATGGTTACATAAGTGGAAAACAAGTCACACAATGATAAGCGTAAGACTCCTTTTATGGTTAAAAAAAAAAAAAAGCTGAGTATGTAAACCAAGTCAAATTGAAAGGAAAACATCTTAAAGGGACAATGCATTCCTACTTGATGTTAAAAAAAAAAAAGGTGGACAGAATAGCAGGGCCTGTGAGAAGCATAGAGAGGGGAATTTAATTTGAGAGAAAGAGAACAGGAATTCAGGAAAGGACATCTATTTGATTTCCCGTCATACTTCCAGGAAATAGCCTTGTTGAGAAAAAATTATCCAAAAAGAATAATTATCAAAAACTGATACATAGGGCTGGGATTGTGGCTCAGTGGTAGAGCGCTCACCTAGCACGGGTGGGACCTGGGTTTGATTCTCAGCACCACATAAAAATAAAGGCATATAAATATATATATATAAAACTCATACATAAAATCAAGAGGACAACCACCCATTCTGTTAAGAATATTTAACATTCTAGGAGACTGTACCATTGTTTGCTATTATTAAGGAAGGTCTCGGGTTTTGTAAAGTTCATGTAATTTGGTTCCAGCCAAAATGCAAATGATTTCTGTTCAGGCAAAAAGATTGAAGGAATACATCATGTATAACGAGAAGAATGAGAAATTATACTCCATTATATACGGTGTATCTAAGTGCATTCTATGTCATGTATAAATAATTAAAATAAATTTTTAAAAAGATTGAAGGGATTATGGAAAATACTATTCCTACAAGACAGCCCTGAGGGACACAGGGAACTCTCTTCCCTTCCTGGGTTTATCCCTGCATCTCCAGCAAAAGCAAATATTCACCTCTTCCCAACCACAATGGGTCTTGAAGGGAGGAGGGGGATACTAAAACACTGAGCCCTGGACTTTTACCCTTGCCCATTGCCATTTTGTCCTGGAAGGAGAAAAGCAATTAGTGAAGCAGTAGGTAACAATGGGTCCCAAAGGAAGGAAGATAAGCAGTGAACACCTAGTTCTGAGCTTTACCCAGTGACAATGAATTTCAAACTTTTTACAACTGCCTTCCTGAGTTAAAATTGTAACCTGTACAGCTAGGTCCCTGACTGTCGGGACAGCACCTCTGCAGTCTCTAATATTAATTCACCCTCATCAGAAACTATAAAAAACTGTAATTTGGTGGCCACTTCCATACTCAGAAACTGAGCTTTCCCTTGCCTGATTGATTGACTGCTGAGGAATAGAGCTTGCTGATCCGTTTGAGGTCTGCTAACTCCTGGTTATTTGTATTTTCATTATGGTGCTGAAACCATGTTAGTTATTTCTGCTTACAAAGATAACCCCAAAGATTACAGTTTATTGCCCTGTAGGACACTGAGAATTTTGTATTTAAGCCAGCAATTATATCTTAACATTCCTTTATTACATCACCTACACATGGCCAGCCCCTCAATTATTCTTAGAACAAGCGAGTTGAATAAAATCTTTGACTTGTGTTTAATTTGTATAAATTGTGCTTTTAATCTTTAAAAAAATAATAATACTTTGACAGATGGGAGGGAGTGTTCATGTGTCACCCCAGATGAGGAACTAGAAACCTAGTTCTTTCTTTGGTCATTGCTGGGCCCTCTTCCAGCCTCCTCCCTTTCCTTACCATCCCAAATGTCTCTGGTCACTCCCAGGGAAGGGTGGAAAATTGGTCATACCCATACCCACCCCTTCCCTCCCTCACTGACTTGGAAAGGGCTCAGACCTGGGACCGAGTTAAAAGCAAGGACTAGGGGTGGGAGGTCAGACCGACAACCTCAGTGTCTGCAACTCTAGTGATTTACAGAGACACTTCTCCATGGGTGGGCATGGACAGGGTGGAGACAACCGAGGAGGAAGCACCAGTTCTCTTAGTGGGGAGCCAACTGGAGCTATCTGGAAGAGGGGATAGGGAGTCTCCTCTGAACTAAAAAGAGACCCAGATCTCTAAGGTTCATAGAGGTGGGAGCAAGCACGAAAGCAGCTGAGGTTGAGACTCGGGTTTCAGCTCCTCGGGCTGAGCCAGGAAGCGAGCTTTCTGGGTCCCACCCAAGCTTCCCTGTGCGCTCAAGGATGCCTCTGGATGTGGGCACATTTGGAGAGTGCAGGTCACCGGAGCCTGAGCAAAGCGCACAGGTTTCCTAGACGCCTGCTCTGCCTCCCCACGTACTCTTGATCCCTCGGCCGGGCTAGCCCTGCCTCAACTCCTATTGTACCCCTGTTCCCCTTGACTGCCTGCTACCAGTGGGTAGCAGCTGTGTGTGGCCACTGGCTCCTTTCTGGGTTCAGGGACTGGGACAACGTGTCAATGCTCCAGATAGAATCTGCAGGAGAAAGCCGTGCCATGCGGTTGGACAACTTGGAGAACTTCAACCCGGGTTCGTTGAGTACCCGCGCCACCAGGGATATTCGCTTGCTCGTTTGAACAGCCCTCCACCCACGCTGGCCTTCTCCTTCTGCCCACTGGCCCCAGGAGGATGACTTCAAGGTGACGCTTCCCTAAGACATAGGCCGGATGCTGCTGCTGCTGCAGGCACACAAAGCTCCCCCCCACGCTGTTCTGAGTCCTTGACTCAGGGTTCTGCGCTTTCCTTGGGGAGGCAGTGGCTGGAGGCCCCCTTCGCAGCCCCTGCTATCTGGAGCTGGAGGGGGCGGGACCTGGAGCTATGAAGGGCGGAGCATATGAGCAGCAGATGTTGGGCCAGAGCTACAGGAGGGGGTCTGGCCTAATGGTAACAAGAGGGACAGGGCAAGAGATGGGATGGCTGAGAGGAATCATACTTGGGGATGGGGCTGCTGGAGAAGACCATTTCTTTTTTTTTTTAATTTAAATTTTAATATTTATTGTTTAGTTTTCGGGGGACACAACATCTTTGTATGTGGTGCTGAGGATCCAACCCCGGTGGCACGCATGACAGGCGAGCGCGCTACCGCTTGAGCCACATCCCCAGCCCCAAGAAGACCATGTCTAAGGAAAGCTCAGGTGAAGTTGGTAGAGGTAGAGTGAGGATGCAGCCCAATATGGAGAGTGGCTAAGATCCTTCTTTTCTCTTCCTAACATCTCTGTTCTTGGGGCCCCAGGATGCCGCAGTCTGGCTGGGCACAATTCAGGAGCCACTTGTCAAAAGAAATGAACTTTATTTTTAGATCACGCGGGGGGATACCACAGGAGCTCTTCAGGAATTCCTTCAGAGCCCAACTGCCACCACCAGCTTCCCACAGGCCTCTCAACCTCCCCCACTCCTCCTGCTCTTGAGGTCAATTGGGTGGCATGGGCGGAGCCAAAAAAAAGTCCCCCAAAGAGCAGCTCTGTGGTCTGAAAGGGCGGGGAAACAGCTCAATGAGCATCACCGCAGAGGAGCCAATCAGTTGGCAGCTAGAAGTTTGCTGGGCCGCTGTGAGCCAATCATCAGCTGGCAGCTGGAAGTTTGCTGGCAGCTGGAAGTTTGCTGGGGCCCCTTGGGCTGTGGCTCTCAACATCTCCCCCTTTCTGTTTAAACAACAAGCATGTGGCTTAGGGACCGTGCCTGCCTTAGGTTGTCCAATACTACATATGGTTCTTACCCA